GCTGTGGGAGTTATAATTAGTTTCGTGTGCGGGGAATAAATAGCCTTTATCTCAAATTGGTTTTCACTTTCTCGAAGGATGTTGAATGTAATGTTTCTTCTCTGTATTAGAATGTAAGCTTTTATTATCTCCTGATGGAGTTCTGTCGATATAGATACCGTTCTTACGCATTAAACTGATGTGCATACTTAAAGAATGATGTGAACGTTTTAGAAATCAATTCATTTGTATCTCGAAGTTTGGTTCTCTCTTTAGAACAACATCAAGCATAGAATGTGAACTTCTCGAAATAAGAAATTCGAGGGAGGAAAGAGAAACCGGACAACTTTTAATCTGGTTAGTAATTCAGTTAACCTCTTTCGCCCTAAAATCGGTATGCATATTCTCCAAACTGTTCCCTATACATTACCTAAAGTGCTGATGAGGAGAATTTGTTTCATAATCCGGAGCTTCTCTGGTTGACCATATCCTTTATTCTCATGACCTTAATGTGTGATTTGGGGATGATATTGTGAGGAGAAATTAGATGATAGTTACTCTTAGGGGTTAACGGTTTACTCTTTTACTCCCAGATCTCACTAGCAATTCTCCTTACTGTCTGCCATATTCTTGTTAACATCTCACTTTGTTACACTATTTATTGCATAATTTAATTTTATTTCTCATTATACAACTGACAATGGATGATGCTTCATCCGAAACATGGTTTCGTTAAAAAAAAATATTTAAAAAATGAACTTCAAAAGCATCGTGTGGTTGATCAAAGCGGTATAAACGTTTTTACTTGTCTTCACTAGGTGCTTTTTCTACATTTATTGTTTTTTTTCATCAATTTGCCTTTGTTGTACTTCATTTTTTGTCAAGTATCTCAGCAACAGTTCGCAGCCGAATTCATCAAATTATGACCTGTATGGCCCCTCAGCTGCTCGTTCCTTTTACACTCGTATTAGAGTCTGACGCGATGGGGCGCTAGGGCCGGGAAAAGGTGTAAGGCGAAGCGAGAGGTAGTTTAATGAAAAACTGCTCTTTGCCCGAGTTAGGTGGGGCTGAACGTGAAATTATTTGGCTCTCTGCTAAGCCAAATAATTTCTCGTGCGGCCGCCCACACTGATGGACCGAGTGGTAGGACAATGATATTAGTTTGGAGATTTGACATTGGATCAACTAATGTTCCCCTAATTGACACGTTTTCTTTATTCTCATCACTCGTCTGCCAGATATGGTAGTAAGGAGAAGTTCTGTCTTGGTCACTAATGAGAGTTAAAGGGTTAAGCGAAGAAATTCCGCACGGTGTCAAGGCAGATTTATTTACCATGCACCTGCTTTTTATGTGATGTATATTGCGCGCCATAATTTCATGTAAAAAAAAACAAAACGAAACAAAACAACCAAACAAAACCAATACTAGCATACAAATGTATGTACGACTGATGTGCTGTGAACGCGTAAATCTGGATTTAACGGACTGCAAGTAGAAACTAACCGGGTCGAAAGAAAAAAAAAAGAAATGACATATTCCCTTACTTTAGAGCGCTTTTGGTGTGATTAATCTTTTTCTTTGTTTCTGTTGATAATAAAACACTGGTGTCAAAGAGTTACGTAATGGTTATCGTACATGAAAATTCATCTAACCTATCTATTATAGCGATGTTTTAGCCTGACAAATATTCCCATAACTTCGACATATTTCTAGAGAATATCTTGAAGTTGATTAAAATGGCAAGCCTAAAACTATTATTGCTAGGATTAAGCTGATAAAAATTATCCGCTATTTTCCTTTTTCCGTTCGCAGCCGAAAAAAACCATACATTTTTGGATATTACGAAGCACTTTTTTAACATTCTTTTTTCTTCAAGGGCAGGGTCAAGAATAGAATGAAAACAAAAATTTGGAAATCAAGAGATACAAGGGAGGAAAATGAAGATGGAGGGAAGCATCCAATAAGGTTTGTTATTTAGTTTGTGACGACTGATTAAGTTATGTATAGTTTATGGAGCTGGTTTGCGTCCAGTAAACTGAACATTTTATTTTGCTGAAAACAAAAATATTTCGTAGTTTTCTCCATTCCCCAATCTATTCGATGTCTGTTTGAAGGAGATGACTTACAGTACTGTTTGAAGAAGTGACAATACTGCAGGCAGATACTTTGTTGATGGTAAACATTGGTATTGAAGAAATTCTTTGTCATTGTCTGTAATGTTATAATTAAAAGAAACTTGCGCGTGAAAAATGTCTATAGAAGAGGTGACTTAATATTGTCAATCAATCAAACATTGACGATGATGTTAAACTTTTTCAACCTAAAATTCTGTTCGTTTTGAAGGTTTTTTGAGATCTTTTAATGTGATCTTTCAGTAAGGGGCGTCCTGAAAAGAAATTTGTTGTTATCAGTAATCGCTTTTTCGAAAACTTGAGCAGAATTTTTGACAACAGTCAAATAAATTTTTTTTCCGAGAAATTGCCAAAAGTCTGGGCAGTTTTCCTAAAGATCATCGATCAACCCCCGAGCAATTATTAAGAGACGTTGCCCTTTACCGACAAGTTGCTTGACGAATAATCCTTAATTTTTACACCACCTAAAGCTAGGCTATAAGGACTCTAATAAGACCAGTAGTGCTAGTTTAAACATACTAGATGGCTTATCTGACGAAATAAAGCTAACCGTCTGTGTTTTATGTTACTGATGAATTTCTTTATTGGATTTGCAGAGTCGGAAGATGAGGATGAAAACAGGGAATCAAAGAGGATTGGAGAATTGGAATGGGAAATGCACAGAGAGATCAATGATGAAGAACTCGGAAAACTGTAAGTTGTTTGACTAACTTTACAGTACGAAATTAGAGAACGATGCCAAAATACTCATTAGCTTGACTATCCAAAATATTCTGATGATAACAGCGTTGTTACAAAAACTTCAAAGGTAGAAAACAACAACCATTGTAAAGTATGTTTTCCGATGTACAGTAACAGAACTGTCAGGGAATGTTTTCTGCGCTGAATAAATTTAACGAAAAATCCTCCTAAGGTTAAAGAATGACCAATCACATTTTCCAGTCGAGAGGTAGTCCCAGCTTAACCTCTTAATTCCCATGAGTGACCAAGAAAGAATTTCTCCTTACAATATCTACACAATATCAAGCAGACAAGTGATGAGAATGAAGTAAAATGTCAATTGGGAGATTATAGTCGATCAAATACCAAATTTTCCGAGCTGACATCATGAGAATTGGTTGGCAGACAGTACGGAGATTTACTAATCAGATCTGGGGGTGAAAAGGTTAAATTGATTGAACGGCTGTTATTCGAGAGCTAGTGAACCAGTTAAAAGGTCATTTCAAATAAAACAAGTTCCTAGACAGATAATTAGTCCCTAAATTTTGTAAATATTTTCAAGTCAAACATTTAAGACAAGTCACTGAAAACCGTTTCAACTCAGAAAATTTACTTTCTTAACCATTCACAGAACTCTTTGGATATCAGGTAGTCTCAGATCGACTGGGTTAATGTAGTTCTCTCTTAAGATAAAGTCTTTTAAGTGAGAGATCACATAGTTACAAAACGAACATATTTAATTTTCTTTGAAGAGCTTTTAACAGATAATGAAAACTACCAAAAGATTTACCAACTTAAAATATCAACTGCCTATTGCTATGATTGGTTTTATTATGTGTTGAACATAAGTTATTTTCATATCACTTGAACTCAATAACACTCAACCGTGATGGGTAAGCTAAATATTAATAAACAAATGGCTGTGACGAATGAATTTAAACGCCGTATGGTTCTCAAACGTAAACATTGTTGGTATGCACAAAATAGTTACCGTGATTTTTTTTTCTTTGTTGCCGAAGATCATTCCCGTTGTCACAACTCTAATATTAAAAAATTAATTAAAAGTTATACGCCTTCACATTATCGAAGAGAAGTTTCTGGCTTGTGAGCTAATTCGGAGAATCATGTGAATTTGTTCGTAATTTGTTTACTGCGTTGATTGAATCAAGTTGAAGGCATGTGACTGGACGTGTGACTAAGGGAAATCATTCGCTTGAGATTCGTAGTGTTCTCGAAAACAATGAGTTGTTGACAACAACATTATTTCTCATTTTAGTATTGTTTACCATCCCTTAAAAATAGCTCCGGCCATCCGATGGAATATGCTTTTACACAAATGTTTTGGCCGTTACCGGCTATACGTTATGGCTATTCATGAATGTCTTCTGCGATTGTCTCAATTTGTCCGGCACTGGGTAACATATTTTGTGCTTCTTCATGCCACAAACATCATTAAAAGTAAACTCTCCACATGGAAAAAGTAATTTGAGCGTCTGCTTTAAATCCTTGCAACTCGTTCGCCGCCAAATGTTTCAACTTTGTTTTTTCTGATCAGGAAGTTGATAATTATAAACATCGATACGAGCTTCGGTTTTTACTTCAAGAATGAGAGTACATTGACTGAGTAATGATTACTCTAGCTTTACGTTCAGTTAACATGCGTGCTGCACACGAGGTTACACGCTAGTGTGCTGTGTCCGCTCGCACGCTAGCTTTTGTATTCGAAGGTTAACACGCTTTGCGTGTTTGCCTGCTCGTGCTTCATTTTTCAACAGCGCACGCTGTATTGTTTGTAGGGTATTATATGAAACAAAAGCATATGCACATTTAAGTGTGCTCTAGCGTACTCAGCAAGCGTGTTCGAGCCAGTTTCTTTTTTTAAGTAGAAGTGTGTTGTGAGCATGCTATTACCTTTGTCCCTATACTCATATGGAGGGTCATTTCATTGAAGGTATCCATTGTCGCATATAACTTCTCTCTTCTCTCTCTTTGTTTTTATCCGAAGAGTTTTTGCGGTTTGTTTAGAGAAAGTACTTAGCTGATGAAAGCGGATTTTTCTAACCAACAAATGCAAACACGTCCTCCTCTAACAATGGATATAATACTTACACTGTAGGAGCATACTTGTTACATTAAACTGTTGCTAAGAAAAATTTAGTCTAAATAGTTTAAAGAGGCCGGGAATGCAAAACAACAGACTGAGTCGAAAAAGCAGAACAATACCTTTTAGCTCTAAAGATAAATTTTACAATTTTATGCATTGAGAATGTAACTTTTCATTCCAAGGCAGCCACTGTTTCGAGTAATGCATTTTTTCATCAAAGGAAATAAAAACGTTGCAGCAAGGCATGAGTGCACTGCTAAATAAAGCGAAGGAATGTAATCGACATCCAATATTTTTTTAGGATTTTTTGCGAACAAGACTCATTTCCTTCAATATTTTTCCTACATATAGAAGAATTTTGTTAAATTACTAATGCATTCCTATAAATCTCTAAGGTCCCGAAGTGCACAAGCTTTCCACCCCTAATGATGGGTGGAAAGTATTTACCTCATTTATCTTTGTATTTTACAGCAATTGAGAGAAGAATTGTAGTGTTAAGAACCATTTCTTTAAATTTGGTGTCGAAAGGGGTACGGTGTCTAGCTTTGCAACAGAAGTGGCCAGTGATAAAATCCGAATAGTAACCGAATAGTCGCGAATTGTGACAAATAGTGAAAATAAATGAATTTATAATGAAATAAAAATATTTATTGCCCTATTTCATAGATTTATTGGATTCAAATGTGTGTATATAACGATTATATGACAAAAAAGATATAGGGTAACATATGGACTAGATCATTGGACCCTTGGACTATTTTTTGGAGCATTTCTTGGAGCATTTTTTGGACTATTTTTTTTGGACCATTTTATCGGGGGGGGGGGGGGGAAGGCAGACCATTAGTACTTTAACTTTTTGTCATGTGAATGCGAAGTTGGCACCTAAACACTGGACTATAATCGTTATAGAAAATATCGCCAACTCCTGTTTTCGATCCTCCTCTGTGAAGTCATGTGTTTGCCTGTTTACTCGACTTGTGCCAGTGCTAAATGATACTCACAGGTTAGTATGAATCATATTTCAGTAACCTCACGTTTTCCTTTTTGTATGTGCCAAAAAAAAGCGAGGAAAAAGCGCGATGGTTTTATAAGTGGTTTCACATCATGGAGTGTAATCCAGCTGTCAATGAAACTCTCTTGACTTATCCAAGCTCCAGATAATAAAATTTCCCGGGAAGAATCGGTCACATTTACTGACTTCTACGTTTTGCCGACGGAAAATATCGGCAAACAACAGTAGCCACCATAGTTCTACTTCGCAGCTTTCGTTGGTTTTTGGGCAAGAAGTGATTGGTAGGGGCCCAGGCAAATTGGAAAACAAACCTTGGGGAGTCGTGAGGAATCCCGGTGTCGGTGATTAACTCGTTTGTTTGCGAATCAGATAAGTAGTACCTCTGTTTTATTTATTTCAGAATGATAGCATACATGTTTGAAACACAATTTATATGTTACCCTATGCCTTTTTTGTCAAACAATCAGTATGTATACACATTTGAATCATATAAATCTACAAAACAGGGCAATGAATATTTTTATTTCATTATCAATTCATTTATTTTTACTAATCACCACTATTCGCCACTATTCGTCACTATTCGTCACTGTTCGCGACTTTTCGCACTATTTGGTCGCTATTCGGGTTTTCTCACTAGCCAACAAAAGTTCGTTTGAGAGAGATAACGGTGTGTTTGTTTTCGGATTATACATTTTACCCCCAAAGAATTTACCAATATGGGTCAATAGAATTTTTAATTTCTGAGCAGAGCCTTCGTCCTTTGTACGAGAAAAAATTTTTCTCTATTAAAGGGGCTTTTTGTGATCAAGAAGGACAGGTTTTTAACTCAAACACGGAATTTCTAAACATACGTGTCATTTGAAATTTTAAGTATTTAACTAGCTGTAGCTTAAAACCGTTGTCAAACAAATGTATCCATAAATCAGAAAACATTTTAAACGAGGGTCAAGATTAGAACCAAAAAACTCCTGTTACAGAATGTTTAGTTTGTTGCGTTTGTGTTTGTTTTCTATGGCGAGATCTATGTTAAGAATATGTAGTGTGTTCGTTTCTGTTCCCATGACATTCCACTCCTTCGTACTAAGTGCGTCGTCGCTTTCGTTTAGCCTTCTGCTTGCCAGGTGATGATTTTGTGACGATAGGGTTTTTCTCCCAAACTGGGGAGCTGACTCTTCGCGGACGGCACAATAACAACTGGGGGGAATAACTCTGTAGAGACGACTTGGCAGCGAGAACGGAAACTCGTCACGATTTCCTGGTACACGGAGATCTGCTTCGAGCGAGCTTATACGGACGTCAAGGATAAGACAATCTTTGGTTCCACAGTACTTTTATTCTAGGTCAGGCCAACAAGCGACATGACCTCTAGCATATTCTAGTTTGTAATCATCAAAGCTGTACAAGGTACTTGCTTAAGAAGTAACTGGTGCGAAGTGCTATTGTTACACAAATCGCAATATTTGAATAAGGACACAAAGGAGCGGAAAAAGTCTCTTTGAAGTTAAACGAAAACTACTTAATTATTCCATCTGTTTCTACGACGGAAATAATCTCAAAATTAAAAAGACGGATGCAATAAACTCTAGGCCATTAAAGTAGGAAACCTAGGTGCGAATTTACAGCTCTGGTATAGAAAACAATACCTATCTTAATTGCAGCAGCGCAGCTCAGGAAATAAAAAAACGAAAAAGCAATTAAAAGTTTCTGCTTATTTGCGCAAGATTGGTTTGGAAACCATCGCATGAAAAGAAATTAAATTTACGCGTTTAAACTCAGCTGCTATCTACCATGAAAACCAATGTTTCCAGAAAGACCATTAACACTTATATTTACCTAAAAAAAAACAATGCAATAAATAACAAAAGTGCCGACAAGTAGGTACATATGATGAAAGCGAGTAACAACAAAAATCTATTCAAAAGCTACTGTGGTTTTTATGCATATTTTTGATTTATTGAAATGAAAGGACTTGAAATGGTTAAATGTAAAAGTTTACGAATAAATATGCTTCGAATAACACACACGGGAAAATCAGTAAATTTTCCCGTAACAATTTGTAGGACGTTGTCACGTTCTCTTTGCAAACTGCTGTCTTCACAGCGCAGAGGCGATTTTCCAGGTAAATGTTCTCCATCAAAGCATGAAGTATATTATCACCTTCCTGAAGTGACTGCCTGTTTAAAGACTCGATAGGATTGGTAGTGCTTGGTCCCTGTTCCCAATCCTTGTCGTCCATTTCCTTAAAAGCCCTTGTAAACATGATCAGGTGATTTACAAGGAACCACCATTTACTCCAATGCTCTAGCTTCGTCTAGTCTTTGTTGTGGATGGTGTCAAATTCCGAGACCAACAAATTGCCTTCCTTCTTGTAATTGTCTGGTGCCAGAGAGCGCATCGAAAAGCAACAAAACATTTCTTTTTCGCACTCGTCTTCGATTTTGCTTGCTAGGGCTTTTAATATGCGAACTTCAGTGTCATTTAACTGATCGCTGCCAGTGAACCTTGCATCTCCCGGTCACTTTCCGGGAAAGGTCTTCACCCAGACACTGTTGAATTCCTTTGTATTGTCCATCATCAAAGTCAACCAAGATAGATTTCAAATTCATGCCATTTGCAAAGCGGGCATGATCAAACGTCACTTTTTTTTTAAAATCGTGGCGATGGACTTAGAGTAACTCTCACTGTCTTGCCTACTACGTATAACTCTTGCTACCGCATTATAGACGCACGTTTCGTCGTTAAAAGAAACAACGTTTAGGAGGTATGGGAAGAAGTCATTACCAGTAGAAGTACCGTCCATGAATAAATCCTCTGTTGTACTCAACAGTGCAGATTGAAATGGAGCCATGAAGAAGGCATACTTTCTGCAAGAAGTAAAGAGGTACTCGCTCCCTTTCATCTGATATTGACCCATCATCTGGTTGACTTATTCAATCATCATACAAATGGTTGCTTTTCACTTTTTCCGAATTTTATCGAATCGGAGCACCTCGTCGAGTGGGCGTAGCTCTCTGTAAACAGACGTCCATTTGCCAAGGGCTATCTTCTCTCTTTTTTAAACGCAGTCGGCATTTGCTGCAGGCGAACTAGCTTCGGCTGGGACGTAACCAATTCAAGGCCCTTCACACTGTCTTTTGTTTTTTTTTAGCTGTCATCGGAAACAACTCTTTGGATGTCTTCTTTCACTTTACTTGATATGCTGTGTGGAGCTGGTTTGTTGTGATTGTGTCGAGTTACCGGTACAAGACCAACCATCGCCTTCCATCGTCATTGCAGGGCCATATGTAGACCATATGCAAACTACATGGTGCAGATGAAAGAAGAGATTAATTTTCCCAGTGACGTAAGCATCGATTTATCTTTTGTCTTTTAGAGACCACATACTCACAGTCAGGGCCAGCACAAGTTTTCACGCCTTCACGAGGCCCCTGTCTCACGTACAAGGATGTCTTCTTACCTTCTACAATTATGTTGTGCTTCGTTGTTTGAGAGCCTCTTATTGGCAGTTGGTTGTCATCCCAGATAAAATGTGGTCGAGTATTGGCTTCAAAAGGCAACCTGCGCCAATCTCTTAAGTTGGCCAATGGTTTCTGTGAGGACTGTAGGTCAGTCTCGAATCCGGGAAATTCGTATTGATCTTTGTCTGTCAGCTTGTGCCAAGTATCAGAATGCTTCAAAACTTCCTTTAACTTTGGTAGGTGATGGTGTCCACGTCCACTCCTTTTCTTGTAAGTTTGGGTTGTCCAATACACCCAAACTGAGTCCGATGAACCAAGGTCATGAACAACCAGACTCGCCGGAAGTCAGTTCGCGAGAGACTTAGTAAATATACAACAAAGTATAGAGTTGCGGACTGGGTGGAAATACATGTCGACAAACGGCCGGACTCCATCAAATCCGATGGAGACGGGTTGCCGTGGCAAGAGTATATCGAACTCGCCGCGTGTTAGTTCGCTAGATACTTAGAAAACATACAGCAAAGTAGAGTAGTGAAAGGGGTGAAAAATGTCGGTAACGGACTCCGTCGGATTCAATGAAGACGGATTGCCGTGGCAAGAGTCCATCGGACTCGCCGCATGTCAATTCGCGATAGTCTTAGAAAATATACAGCAAGGTAGAGTAGTGAAAGGGGTGGAAAATGTCGGCAAACGGACTCCGTCGGATCCGATAGAGACGGGTCGCTGTGGAAAGAGACCATCGGACATCGTCCCGTGTCAGTTCGCGAGACACTTAGAAATATATAGCAATGTTGAGTATAGTGAAAGGGATGGAAAATGTCGGCAAATGGCCTCCTTCGGGTCCGATGGAGACGGGTTTCCCTTCCATCTGCTCACTTTAATAATTTACCTGAACTTAAACTTTCACTAAATATCTCCGCCGATGAAATACGTCACTGCGCTGACTCAAATAAACTCCCAATCAACGAGTCAAAGTCTAAAGTCTTAACGATCACCGGAAAGTGCCTGGCGTCTAAGATCAATAATGAACTTGTTGTCACAGTTGAGGACAATAGGCTCGTAAATGGAAAAAGTCCAACGCTTTTAGGTTTAACAATCGATAGTTCACTCTCATTTGATTGTCATGTTGAAAATCTTTGCAATAAGCTTGCCTCGCGCATAGGTGTTTTGAGTATAATCAGGCCCTTTCTGTCACTTAAACAGCGACTGTTGCTCAACAATGTCATTATTCGCCTAGTAATGAGCTATGTTGACGTCATTTGGTCATCATGTGACAAGGAACCACTTTACAGAGTCTTGAAATTACAGAAACGTGCATCTAGAATCATTTCATATTCCGACCACCTAACACCCTCTCTGACACTTTCTATAAGCTGGGATGGATACCTTTTTATGAACAGTAAAATTAACAAATGTGTTATTTTTAGAAGCGCGTAAATGGCTCTCTTCCGAACTATCTCAATGAACACTTGACGATTAACAATACACAACATAACAAAAGCACGCGGTATGCTAGCTATAATTCTATCTGTCCTTTTTATACGCGTGACACTGAAGGAGGCCGTTCTTTTGCTGTATCAGCAACAAGACTTTGGAATAATGTGCCGCTAAATATCAGAAAGATAGACACTTAGATAATATTATGGCAACGTCGAGGATGTGGAGGGGCTGTAAAAAGAACGACTTTTTCATGTTTAACGCGCTTGTTTCGCCTCATGGCGTTAAGAACGAGGTATGTTTCATTGTAGCGCGCTTGTTTCGCCTCATGGCTTAAAGAACGACGAATGTTACATGTGTAGCGCGCTTGTTTCGCCTCATGGCTCTAAGAACGATTTATATTTCTTTGTAGCGCGCTTTTTTCCCCCTCATGGCTTAAAGAACGACGTATATTTCATGTGTAGCGTTTGCAACGCTTCATGGCTTAAAAAACGACGAATGTTACATGTGTAATGCGCTTGTTTTGCCTCATGGCTTAAGACGACGTATATTCCATTGTAGCGCGCTTGATTCGCCTCATGGCCTTAAGAACGACGTATATTTCATTATAGCGCGCTTGTTTCGCCTCATGGCCCAAAAAACGACGTTTATTTCATGTGTAGCGTTTTTCTCGCCTCATGGCTTAAAGAACGACGGATGTTACATGTGTAGCGCGCTTGTTTTGCCTTATGGCTCTAAGAACGACCAATGTTACATATGTAGCGCGCTTTTTTCGCGTCATGGCTTTAAGAATGACGTACATTTCAAGTGTAGCGCGCTTGTCTCGCCTCATGGATGAGAGATATTTTCGCGAGCTGACCTCGGGGGAGTTCGATCGACTCGTGCCAGGACGAACTGTCTCCATCGGATCCGATCGAGTCTGTTTGCCAATATCTTCAATCCCCCTCGCTCATGTTAACCTCTTACTTCCGGTACCACCAGTCAAGCGCCATACGGCCATTTCCGGTTCCGGTCGCAATAGGACTCAATCCGCCTGCTGGTGAAGGTAACCCGACTCAGGTCAGGTGTATTGGACATGTGTGAGTAAGTTTTGGCGGCTTTCTCTTTTTTTTCCTCGTTAAAAGGATCGACCGCAGAATCGAGAACAAGGTCGTTGCGCGGACGGCGCAAAAATTCCTTACCTTTCTCGGTAAGTTTATATTGTCTCCACACCCTGTTAAACGAGTCGCATCTAGTTATGTTGAAGTTGATGTCTACATACTCTAGATTTACTGACTTTCGTAACACTTTTGACCACCAATCATCGGAACATTTTAGCCTCATTAGCTCCGAACCGGTAGAATAGGTAAGAGACTTTTCTAGAAGCGTCTGCATTTCTGGTGTCGAGAATTTCTCTCGCTTACTTCCTTTAATCATACGATTAACTCTTCCTCTCTCACACCATTCTGATATTTTATCAGTTTTCCAAAGTAACTCGCATCAATTAAAACCGTAAGTCTGTCAAGTTTTCTAATTTGTACAAGGTTTATCAAAGCACCACTATGAAAAGTTTGAGTCATTCAAGCTTTCATTATACATTTAAAGTTTAAGAGATTCCACTGTTTTCAATTACAACTAGTTTTTCCATGTGTTCGCTGGAAGTGTCCTTTCAGTTTTATAAAAAAATTTTTTTGTTGTTTGTATTTCTCTAGTTAAGTATAATTATTTACATCTCCTAGAATCATGATGTGTCAGTCTTAGCGTGCTATTCCTCGAAAGTCGAAAAAGGTCGGACAGTGTAAAATTATATAGTTGGTAAAAAATATTGGATGTACGTTGATTTATTTGGGTTCTGCCTTTCAGATGGCTGAAATCCATGATGCCATGGAGTTGCTCCGTATTGAAGTAGAGAGAGGGAAGAAGACCCAAGAGACGAAGATAGAGAGAGGCGGAGAAGAGAAAGAGAGAGAAGCAGACAGGAGGACAGAGACAGGTTAAGGCAAGAGAGGAGGGTCGAGGAGGAACGGCGCGGAGAGACAACTGTCCAACCGCGTCAACCCTTACGGCAACCTCCACGTCGTCCCGTCGTAAGTAATCTAAACTGCTTCCTACCGTTGGATACATTTTTAACCGTTTAATTTGGTTTTCCCAAGTCTTATTCGCCTATTTTTCAAACTTAAAATAAATGATATAGCATGGCGCATTAACATACGAAACATCCCTTCGAGTGTTGAATATGTCTCGGGAGTGCGAGCAGTGATCGAGAGAAATATTGTTTTTCCCTAAATTAAAATTAATTACACGCAAACGGTCAAACAGAAAGGAAACGTAAAGGGAACACCGAACCATTTCATTTGCGTACGAATTACTTTGTAACCAGAGCGTTGGCATTCACATGTAAAAATAACATGTTACACATGTCACATTTTTGCGGGAGGTCTTCTAGTAGTCTTCTCCTATTTGTTTAATGAAAAGGACATGGCCGCATGGAGATACAAGTGACCCTCTCTTAATGAAATGGCAATCCATGTTAATTTTGTTGCAAAAGACACAACTATTATTCAATCGTAGAGACTATGTAATTTTCATGATTTCGCGCGAAGGGTCACGTGGTTTTTACAGCTATTGTTATGACAAAAGTCTTTATTTCCTTGCAGAGAAATGTTACAACTGTGGAGCCGTAGGCCATATTCGGGCTCAATGCCGAAGACCCAGGCGTCGGGATAGAAAAGAATACAAAAGGGACAGTGACGTGGTGATATTCATTACCACTTTCACGGCACTGTCCAAAATCTTAAAACTTCTTAATAAAGAGTGTTTTAAATGTGAAATGTCGGATAGTGCATCATTTCTAAATTCACATGGCAAGGGATAATGTGGGTAATGACTGGTCTTGAAATTGCGAACTGGAACGATAACACATCCTAACACATCCACACATACACACCCACGCTCACACAAAAAAAAGCAAGACAAGACATTCGAATTCAAACTAGACTGTGATAAATTTCTTAGTTTATCGTAGGAGCACATATACCACTCTACAGTGATAAAGCTATCCATACCTTGTCACTTTTCAGGCTTGACTAAAAATTTGTCGCACCACTTACTAAAGTGGCCTCGCTAAAACATAATAGAAAAAAAGAATAAACACTCCCGCTACTTACATACTGTAAAATTGTACTCCTGTTAATAAACTAACGGCGTAATTTCTTCCAGTCGGTGATGTTTACATGTATGATTTTACGGATTTTAAAATCCGGTCGGTGATAGATGTAATGCAAATTTTACGGCAGTAATATAATTTAATTATACATTAATTTATCATAATTAATCTACCGACGCAGATAGTGATGTAAAATCTTGCAGTATATAAACCGTTAGTCACATATTACGCCGTTATATATATTCCCAAATGCAGATTGCATGTAGACACAGAAGGTAGACT